GCTCTCTTAGGGTGGTGATGGAGAGGCGAATGTTGTCCAGGATAAAGACAATGTTGGATAACTCCTCCCACCCACTCCATGCTAGCTAGCCACAGGAGCACGTTCAGCGAAAGACTGAGATTACCAAAAAGCACCACTGAACGACACATGAAATCATTCCTGCCTGTTGCCATCTCCCTGTACAACTCATCCACCTAATACACTGTGTACTGCAATAGCTACACCCTTTTTGCTCTTCTGCTCTTCTTTCTTATTCAGATATTTAGATATTTATCTATTTCTTACTTTTTGTATTGCCTGATTTTGTTATTGTTTGTACTGGAGCGCTGTAACCAACATAATTTCCCCAAGGGATCAATAAAGTATTATGATTCTGATTGCCAGGCTTTTACTGCAGCCTCCTCCAGCTGCTGCTGGTTTGAGGGGTTTTTCTCAATCCACTTTGTCTTTAGTATCTGAAAAGCTGATCTGTTGGGTTGAGATCAGGTGACTGACTTGCCCATTGAAGGATATCCAATTTCTCTGCCTTGAGAAAACCTTTGGGTACTTTTACAGTTTGCTTTGGAGGATTATCCTTTTGTTCTGTGAAACACAGTCTGATCAGTTTTGCAGTACTTTGTTGAATTTGAGCAGAGAGTACAGTCTTGTACTTCACAGTTGGTCCTGCTACTTTCTATCTGAGGTCCCATCATAAATAAACACCAGTGAACTGGTTCCACTGGCAGCAATACCTGTGCATGCTACATTTCCTCCACCATGTGTGACAGATAATGTGGTTTGTGTCCAAACATGACCTGTTTTTCTCCTTCTCCAAACCTTTTTCTTCCCATCATTCTGATACGTCTCAGTTTCATCTGTCCAAACAGTTTTTTCCCATAGATGGCCACCGCCTTCTTCTTCCTTGTGACCAGTGGTGTGAACCCTGTAGTAAACCCTGTGCATTTACACTCATGAAGAAGTTTCACGATTGTGGACTTTGACAATGATACACCTCCTCAAAAGTTGTTTTTACTAGAGCTGATATTATAAAGGTGTTTTCTTCTTAACCACAATAATAAAAGCTGGCCTTTATTTTCTTTCAGGCCTTTTTGGTTTTACTGAGCTGCTCAATGCAATCCTTCTTTTTAGGAATGAACCAGTTTACTGACTTCTAAAGTATATTTCATTTTTCTGAAAGGTTATTTTGAATTTTCAGCCTAATTATTGCCTCCTTCGCCTGTATCAACATCTCTTAGAACATTATATATATTCAATTAAAAGACTACTGAATACAAGGTGAACACTGGAAATCAACTCTAACTATCATTCATCTGCTTAATTTGTAATCAAACAGTGAGTGAACAGGCCTCACCTGGCCATGAAACTGCTCATCAATCAACTGTGCAATTACTGTGACTGTGTATACAAATGGCTGTAATTACTAAACAGTTAGTGCAACTCTTTTGTTAAGTCCACTTAATTAAAGCTGGAAGTCTGCACTTCAATCATGTCTTGATTGTTTGATTTGAAATCACTGTGAGGGTGTAGAAACCTATGAAACCTACACAAACTGTGTCCATGTCCTTAGGTTTCTAGATGTAACTGTAGGCAGACACGTACAGTTTAATATACATGAACAACCAGCTGTCTATAACAACTAGCTAATGAAATTGATTGGGTTTAAATGAAGCTATGCGTTGAATGATTTTTCTTCCAGAAATCTACTTGGAAATTATGTTGTGTGTGTTTTGCAGATCCACATTATCCCAGCTCCATTACAAGACTCATGTTATTTAGATGACTTAAGTTTTTATCATATACTGCTAAAAGTTAAAACCCAAGCACAAGTGAAGTTATAAAGTCCAATATATACTATTGTAGCAGAACACAGTGAGATAAGTCACAGTGTATGATGAAGGGTGATTATGTTTTTCATTTGTAAGACGATGAATGTTCTGCTTCATATCGGCCACATACTCATTCTTTAAGACCGCGTTTAAATTTGGGAACATGCTATCATTTATGAGCAATACACTGCTGACTCCCTGACCTTTAAACTCTAGTCATTAATTTACTTGCATTAATTTAGTCCATGACCTCAAATCTGGGCTCTTCATTAGCTTTCTCTTTATTTCTCCGTTTTTCCACTGAATTACTGAAACGTCACCACCAAACATTCAGTAGAAAGTTTCATACCTTATAGTTCTTCTCAGGTGCATGGGCAGAGGAATACACCTGATGTCCCGTTTGGGTCCACCATCGCTGTCTTCATCTTCATCCTCGGGGGTTGAGTCCCAGTTGAAGTGAGGATAACTCTGATCAGGAGCTGGAGACGAAACTCGCCGACGCCTGAGTGACTGCTGCTCACCGTCATAACCATTTCCTGTGAGCGAAAGACATTCAGACATCGTCTAAGAGTTTAAAACAAACAACAAATACGAGCAGGTAAATCTGATCACCTCCAATGTAATCGTAAATATGAGAGTTTTGTCTCTGTATTTCACCGGCCATCTCTCTGACGAATGTTAACAGTTTTCCTCTACGATCACATCTAATAGCTGACCGACAACAAATCCAGACTCAAACAAATAAGTGAAAGACTTCCTTGTGAGGATAATCTGCGTATCCATCACCTGCTTCCTTGTTGTCCCCTTTCACGGACTTTACTCCCTTTGTAAATGACTGCACATGCACTTCCTTATTGGCTTCAACCTAATGAGTTAGCTTTACCCAGCCAGAAGGGAAAAGCACACTGAAAACAAGGATGTCAGATATTTTGTCTTGAAGTGCTAAAATCATAAACGTCTTTGACTTTACAGGAGAGGGGAGGAAATTAATGCATTTTAACAGCGGACATGGATGCCAGGAAATGAAATACAACACGCTGCTGTGTACAACAAAAGCAACAAAAGATTTTTAATAACAGGATGTCGTTAACAAACATTTACCTAGAGAAAGCACCGCGTCCCAATGCTTTGCAGAGGCTTTAATATGACCTTTATAACAAACTAAATCTTCACAGAGGAAATGCTGAGATGTATTGCACTTTCAACACTGTTACAAATCAGGGAACGTTACAGCCGGTGCAAAAACAAAAAAAACACAAAACAGACTAAGTAGTAAAATAAATACTCCGGAGAAAAGCGGTGAGCAGGACTTGTATTCGCAGTCATCGACATGTGACAACAGAAACATTTCTCTAATGGTAAAGTTTGGCACACGCCAAGCACAACACAAAAATGAATTTGTAACTCTCATAACCTCAAGACCATACAGTGCGAACTAACAGTGAGGGAATGGCAATAACTCAATAACATCATGTATTAACTTTCTGCTGAAGTGCACTGAGGAGATCAAACAGTTTTACATTAATGTTACAGAAATGTTTGTATCACAAAAAATGAAAATATGGCCTCTCTAAAACATCATCGCTGCCTTAAAGAGAATTAACAGTTGAGACATGCTCAGGGTGTTCCCCACCTCTTGCAGTCAGCTGAGATTGGCTCCTGAATTTATTTTAGGAGCTTTATTGACAATATCCCCCAATCCTAACTGTGCTGTTTTCAATGACAAACACTGGCAGCTTATAGAAAATTGTAAGTCTTCACATTAAATGTTTGGTCCCTACCCAGAATGTTACACGATGGCAGTACAGACATTTTGGCAGTGAACGGACTATTGTTATCATTTACATGGCACACCTTTCCCTGGATACAACAGCATGCAGTGGAGATGCTCCTGATATGATCTAAACTGCTTACACCTATGAGCAGAACAGTGAGGGGAACTAATGCAAAAAAGATAAAAGGAAAAAAAGGAATTTAGAGGATTAAAATTTAGGACACAGTAATGTTTGGCATACAAAAATAACAGAACATACAGTGTGTGCATGTGTGTATATAATATATATATACACATATAACATATTACCTAAAACAGTTAATGAGGTCCTAATTTAATTAGGCAGGAATACAAAAGGTCAATTCTTATCAAGCAGACCAAATTAGCTGAACTAATGACACACTCATTAGGTTATCTCCATCATAAAACTAGTCATTCATCATTCTAATATAGGCTGTAGCCAGGATCTCAACATGACATGCACCTCGTTTGATTAGAAATACAATTCAAGACTGCTTATACCTCATGAAATACTATCAAGACCACCATACAGGTGACAGGAGTGGATTACTAGTGCAGCAGGTAATGGTAAGAATCTTTCAGATGTGAATACAAGCACTGAAATCTGGGTGTTTGCTCCTTTTAGTGCCCTTAACTTAAAAAAACCCCATGCACCACTGGTATTATCCATCACTTCCAGGTGAGGAAACGGCCGTCTTTTTTCTTTTTCTTTTTAAAACCACACATTTTCAACATTTTACTTGAAAGATAATTGCAGTAACACGCTTATAACAACAATATATGGATACTAAGGGGACTGAAACCACTCCCATGTCTTACAGACACAGTTGGTAAGTATGAATATTTATCTACGTTAGTTTTGCTACATACAGAAACAGATTTAGTCAATCATCTGTGTCCGAGGTACTCGTTGCTCTTATAGTAACAGGTTTAACTACAAGAGGTAAAGGTAACCTTGTAAGCATTTCACGTTTAGATCTGGAATCGTAGATGGATGCATCTATGCTCAGTATCTTGTCAACGTGTGGACTGGAGGAGCTGGAGATCGAGTCTCCAGACATTTCTAATACTAGACGACCTACTTTACACCTGGCCCAGCCAGGGTCGTGGACTCATAGATGGTGGTTGTGTAAGTGAGGAGTGCAAGGAGTCCACCCAGAATCTACCTCTACCACTACCTCTACTGCAATCCTATACACCTGTTGGTATAATATTTTGAAGAACAAGAAAAACAAAGGATGTATGGTACAAATTGTGGTTTGGTTGCATCAGAAAGGCAATCCGTATAAAAAACAAACAAACCACCAATCAGACACCTGCTGTGGTGACCTCTCACGAATAAGGGAGTAGCCAAAAGTAGCTTTCCTTATATGATACTACTACTGGGATCCTGCACTTTCAAAGTCGAGTTCTACGCCAGCAAAAAGGGTTTCTCAGATTGATTTCATGTCAAAAAATAATGTTGAAACTGCTAACAGGCTTTATCAAAAGAGAAACAGAAGGAGTTTGTGAAGTTTAGGCGTTTGTATCCACGTGTGAAAGATTCCTCAGTAATGTTAAGATATCTGCTGCACTGTAACCGTTTACAGACCAGCTGCCACTCACTCTCTAAAAGCCTTCACGGAGCTCGAGGATTCCTCTTCCGCTGTTCACAGCATTTGTATGAATATGTTTATATGAAATGCACTTTTATTTTTGTTTTTTAACTAAACAAGATTTGAACTTTTCTCTTGGACCTGTGTGAGCTTTGTTAGGAAGATAAGTGTTGGTGAAACCAGCGTTTGAAATTCTGCTCTTGCAGCAACCTCCTCCTCCTCTCCCAAAAATGATCTAACCAGTTTTTATTTCCTTGCACCTCCTTTCAGTCTGTTTTTTCTCCACTTTTGTTTTTATCATTATCTATCTTCTCGCCCTCTCTTTTCTCTTCTTTGTCCCCTCTCCTCCCTTCCTTCTTCCCTCCCTTTAAGACCCTGCCCACTAGTATACAGCAAACAGCAATGACATGCATGATGAAGTAGATCGACATCCAGTAGTTGATGGTGTCAGTGGCGTTCAGCAACACGAAGCCCATGCACATGTAGTCGTAGGCCCTCATTTTCAAGAGCCAGTGAACCCAGTCGAAGATGTTCTGCCCACGTGGACCCAGTTTAGCTCGGACAGAAGCCTCCATGGCAGACTCTGCTGCGATGCACAGGGGGATGGTGAGGAAAGAGAGGTAGTAGCCAGGGTGCAGTCCGTGCCAGTAAGCACTGATGAACATGGTCCAGCCAGCCCTGAGAGGTACAGACACAGGAGAGAGGCACACCAAACACGAGGTGAGTTTCTGTCCTCAGTTGTTAGAGGTGTTAAGATCGTGAGGCGGGATAAGGGTGGTTTAAGTGCAAAAAAGGAAGAATTGTAAAAGGTTTGACCCACACATTTACATAAATGGGATATTTAAAGTCTGCGGTAAGTGTATTTGTAAGAAAACAAAACACAAACCTGCTTTTTTTTACCCACATTATTAATATGGATCAGTATATTCATGATTCTGTGTGCTATAAACTTCCACAAAAACATGTGAGCTGCGTCGTGGCACTGGCTGACATGTTCTTTTATCACAATGAACACTGTGTACTCTCGTTGTAGCAGGCAGTGTAGTTTATTTTTGACACACACACACACACACACACACTCTCTCTCTCTCTCTCTCTCCTGGAGAACAGAACGCTTTGCTGAAAAGAGGCTATTTAAATAAATAAATTAAAAAAATCCACTACTGAGTGAGTCATGTTTGCTACAAACCGAAGTGTCAAGCTTTTCTTTTCTGTTATGTTTCATCATTGTGCAAATGAGACACATGTTTTTTTAAATGTGCATGTGCGGCAGCGACAGAGACACTTGGAAACATACGCCAGTTAAGAAAGAAGATAGTAAGAGAAAAGATGGGACATTTGATATTAATAATAAAATGGGGGGGAAGACACTCAATCATCTTTTGGACGACGTTTATATTTCATATTTTCATGCATGTACGTGATGTCATAACATTTATGATTTCCAGACAAAGTTGCATCAACATCTTGTTTTGATGATAAGAGACTCCCATGTGTAGAAATGAAGCCTCATGCTCCCTTGAACACTCTTTCACATTTGAGCCTGATCGGGTCACCTGACCTCATTGTTTCTGGCCACCTAATGTTGCTGAGCCTAGATCTGGCTTACTGAAGCAACCCCAGATCATAACACTGCCCTCACGGGGTTGCACAGTACATAATAGGCATGATAGGTGCATCACTTCATTCACCTCACCCCGATGCTTTCATCACTCTGGAGCAGGTTAAATCTGCACTTGGACCACATGATCTTTTTCCATCGCCCCAGAATCCAATCTTGGATGCTCCTTACTAAACATTTCCTTCCCAATTAGCCTCACTCATAAATGAAAAGAGGAAAAAAAAAAAAAAAAAAAAAAAAACACCCAGTTTTTTTTATTCTTTCCCCCATAAAAACAACATTTGACAGTCTCCCTAGCACACTTATTGACAGGTTTTGACACCCCAGTACATATAAATAAACATGTGTTTTGGCACCAGTTAAAACTGGTTCTGGGATTTTTACTAATCTGTACACCCAGCTATTTTTAATATAAGCATGTCTGAAATATGACCTACGACTCAGTTGAGTTTTGAGGGTTACCCCTAGTCAGTTTTCAGTGGGTAAAGCTTTTGGGTAAAAAGTTTAAGTGGTTTCTGACCACATTTCCTCTTTGAGGAAGATGAGACACCACTTTCCTTCCAGGTTTCACTAATGCGTTGGACAGTTTTTAATAGTTTCAGTAATCTCCTTAGTAGTTTTCTTTGCTTGATGCCGGCCAATAATTTGACACCTCTGTAAATGAATAATATCATTTACACAGCATGAGATATGTCTTCTGATGTGGTTGTTTAAAAAAAAAAAAAAAAAGAGAGAGAGAGAGAGAGAGAGAGAGAAGCTACTCATGTCGTCAGTTAGGTTTCAATACCCTGAAAGCAGTTATTCAGTGCATGGCTGTTACTTATTTGCTTATTTAAATCCAGGTAGTTACGTTTTTCCCCACGCACTGAGTTTGGAATTTTACTGTTGCCTTGTAATGTTTATTAGCCAACAACAGCACTGCATTTAGGACTTATTACTTCTGTATAAGATATGAAGCTTCACTGGCATCCCTGCTGAATATAAACAGAATATTAAAGAAGACTGCTGCCACCTCTCACATGTACCTCCTAACATTAGAACTTATTGCACAGGTCCCATATACACCACACAGGGATCTCTTACTGTAGAATAAGCAGAACCTGCTTCACATACCTGAGTGTGTAGGCTTTGAAGGGGGCGTTGGGGTAGATGTAGTGATGCAGCCACCACTGCACTGTCATGTTCCAGTAACGCATGCCATGTCGGACCTTCACACAGAAGTCAGTGTTGTAACAGTCGATGTTCTGGATGGTTTTGAAGTCATATTTCTCCTCCGTGGTGGGATCAGGACTGGAGAGAAGGAAAAGAAACCAGCATTTAACACCAAAAATATCAAACCCCTACACTTTTAGAATATTCGTTTATGTACACAGATGCATCCTCTTTTTATATGCTTGCTATTCCTGTGATTATGTACCTGTAGTCGACAGTAGGTCCTCCTCCAGGTTTAGAAAGAGCCTTTTCTGGATAGCAGCCCAGGCCAGCACTGATACAGCCAGCCTCAGCGCCGCACCACGCTGAATAGAAACGCATTCTAAACACGAAGAATATTGCTACCATGTAGAACATCCTGAGGATGAAAGCAAAGACAAAGTGTATCATGCACCTTTGTCCTAAGAAACAAATAAGATGTGACAAATCTATTCAGTGCCCTTTACTGAAGAGTTAATTACGTTTTGATATATATACAGTTACTTTATTAAGTACACCTGTTCAGCTGCTTGTTAATATCAAATCAGACAATCACACGGTGGCAACTCATTGCATTTAAACCCGTAGACATGATCAAGACGACCTGCTCAAGTTCAAACAGAGCATCAGAATGAGGAAGAACAGTGGTCCAAGTGACTCTTGGACAAACGTCACAAACTTCTGATCTGTTGGCATTTTCTCCACACACCCTTCTCCAGAGTTTACAGAGAATGGTCTGAAGAAGAGAAAATATCAAGCGAGCATCAGTTCTCTGTGTGAAAATGGCCAATTCAATTTGAGCTGATAGGAAGTCAACAGTAACTCAAATAACCATTGTTACAAACAAGCTATGCACAAGGGCATCGCTAAACACACAACACATTTAACTTCGAAGCAGATGGGCTACAGCAGTGGAAGACCACACTGGGTGCCACTGGTTTCAGACTGGCAGGGGTGGTGTAATGGTGTGGCACACTTTGGGCCCTTTAGTACCAACAGAGCATCATTTAAAAATCACCGTGTACCAGAGTATTGTTCCTGACCATGTGTATCCCTCCATGACCACAGTGTGCCTATTTTCTGATGGCTGCTTCCACCACGTCAAAAAGCTAAAATCAACTGAAACTGGTGTCTTGAACATGACGACTTCACGATACACTGTAGATGTACCTAATAAAGTGGCTACAGAGTATAAATGTTATTTTTGAGTAAAATCATTCTAATGAATTCTTCTAATAGAATTTAAAAAATTGCTTTGTTTACAGTTGTCTTACTTTAGTCTACTTTTAATCACTGATAAAAAAAACGTAAACAACTCTCCAGTGATAATATGACAAAATATAATTAATCTATAACTCCTATTAATTTCCAAAAGCGTATTGCTGTTGTGCTGATTCTTTGTCACAATACCTATAGAAAACGTTTTGATCCAAGAAGTCCTCGGTACGAACGTAGGCCAGCGGAAAGACAGAGTTGACAGCCAGGAACAGAGCGCCATAGACAGGAACCAGCTTCAAGCGCTGCAGGCATGGCGTCAAACCGGGGAGGGCCAGCGGGCTCGGCTGCCTCACCCAGTCAATGTATGTTTGGAAGCGGAAGAAAGGGCCTTTAAGGACATGAAGGGATGAGACAGAAGGATAAATGCAGGATTGAGAAGACAGTGACAGACAAAAATTGGGCAATCAGGATGATGCAAGGTATAGAGAGGAACATTAGAGGACAGTGTGGTTAAAAAACAAACAAAAAAAACAACACAGGGTGCAGTTGAGTAGGAAAAGGAAGTGAGAGAACAAAAATAGAGTAGAGATTTATGAAAACTGTTAGAAATAGAAATAATACTAAAAAAAAGCATGGACTCACAATATTGGACAAGTAGCAGAAAGCGAGACAAAGAGAGACAACAGTTAAAATTCATGCAAAAGCAAATGAACACCAACACTTAGTTACAATTTACAGTTAAAAACAGTTCATGTAAGATCAGAATTTCCTTTTTTCTGAACATTTAAGACAAGTTATTTACCCGTCATTATACCGACATAACAGTAACTATACGACAAAATGTCGTAGATGGAAGGCTCCTGCGACAGACCGCCAACGACGGGGGACTTTGCAAAGGAGCTCACGTCCTTCTTCTTCTCCACGTGGAAGCTGCGCACCTCATTGGCCAGACTCACCATCTACATTAACAGTAAGATAAGGATGCATGAATTTGAAATACACTGCAGTATAATTTTAAACTGATTTCTCCACTTGAGTGTTTTTAACTTTCCATACCTTGAGCGTGAGAAGTAGCTGGACGGCGTTGGCGAAAGGTGTTGGTGATGGCAGACCAAACTTAGTGACCAGGCGGAAGAAGAGGAGGTAGAGAAAAGTCCAGCTGAGGCTCAGCGCTGGGGCGTGCCTTGTAAACAGACATATATAGTTAGGAGTGAGACTACATGTACATGGAGTCCTGTTGCATGCTGTGATCTTCACTTTCTGGCTGAAATTAAAGCTTACAGGTTTTTATTTCTATTTATTTTTTTAACCATTTCTACACTCTAGATCAGCTGCTATATTTGAGAAATTTACAGGTGAATTCACAGACAACAGTTTGTGTGATACAAAGTAAAATAAGTCTGAAATGCATGGATGTTCGTTCCTCACCTCCAACTGCTCTTGATAATAATCCATGTTCCGATCACGGTCACCAGGGAGTGGAGTGTGTGGATGTGGCAGGTGGCGATAGTGATGGACAGGCCGAGAAGAAGAGCTGCACCCTGCTTCACAGGTGGACCTGAAGTGACAGAAAAATTGCAGAGTGGAAGCCACCTACATGTGTCTACCGTGGGGCAGGAAAAGTGCCTGACACAGCAGGAAAAATATAATGTTATACAAGTCTGTTGATTCCCACCCACTGCTGTCAGCCCCCGTTGATAAAAGGTGGAGAAATGTAATTTTTTTAATGCAAATTGAAAATAAAAATAAAATCATCAGTTAATTAGTGAAAACCTTTAAAGAGAAAGCCATGAAAAATATAAACATGAGCATTTTTTGTGATTTCCATGTGTTTATCCTGAATATGTGGTCGTCCTTTCACAGATTGCCTTTGGGGCAAACATCATTTATTGATTCCAGGAGACGTGAAAGTCCCTTCACTTTATTATTCAACTTATACTGATTGATCAATATCCTTGCTGATAAACGGTCTACAAATTTAACTGATCACACACCAGCAGTGTAAAGCAGACTCTGCAGCAGAATACAACCAAAAATAAAATCATTAAAATGTTTTCTGCAGCACCAGCTGAATGCATACGATTTCCTGTTACAAAGTGACACACACTTCTGTGCTGCTGTAACTTCAGTGCTGTTTGTTAACATGGACTTTTGGTGTGACTTTGAATCCAGTCTTCAAAGGACTGACTTATTTGAATAATCACAACTCTCAAAATAAGACTTTTTCCCCCCTTTTGCATTTAAATAGTAAATTATGGTTGTGTCAGTTTTTCATCTCATAGTATAACAATCACCAGCAAGCAGCATTAGATAAAAATAAATATATAAATTATGTATGAATTTGTTTATAATTTGATCGAAATACTCACTGAGGTACCGGAAGAGGAATCCAACAGGGATGGAAGCAGCAAGGACTCCCAGGTACACCAGCTCATCAGGAGACATTGCTCTGCTGACACACACACACACACACACACACACACACACACACACACACACACACACACACACACACACACACACTTTTATAATGCAACCCACATGCAAAGTAAAGCATGAGAGAAACACTCCATGCAAATACTCAGAAATAAAGTTTGTGTGCTCAGAGTGAGGGATATTTCTAAGGGCCGCCACAGTGCAGAGAATTACACAAACAGACCTCTGAGGCCAGAGTGGCTAGCAACAGGAAGTCTAAACAAGTGTTGTTTAGCTGTAGATGCAGGTGTAGGAAAGGAGCCTAAAGTACACAAGAAATACTACAACCTCCTCTAAACACCATTTGAAGGACAGATTTATTTTCTGCATTTTAGTAACAACAAATCACTTGTGGTTGTGTAAAATTATCTCGCCAGCAATTATTAGGTTTGCTGAATTTGAACTAACCCTTGAAAAAACCCTTGAAAAAGTATAGTATAGTATTTATTTATTGTCATTGTCAAGAACAATGAAATTGCGTTTGGGGCTTCCATACAACCCAAAAAAAGAAGAAAATAATAAATACCCCTTAAAACCCAAGTGTACATATTTAACCCAGTGTGACTCCAATGCAATAGACAATCCTTAGCAATAACATGAGAACATGACAAGTAATGTTGCAGCGGTTGTGGTGCCATATGCACTGGTATACTTTGCGTCAGCTCAAAATTTAATCCTAACAGCCCTTCTAGTCTCCCATAGTTTATATCGAAATTCAGCACAGTAATAGTTTATCCATTTGAATAAAAATGAATAGTTACAAACATTGAGCCCACACTTATCCAGCCTGAATGCCTGAATCTTTATATCCCAGCTTTTTCATTTTTTATATTCTCCACAAATGTGCTGCACAGGAACATAATAGGGTCTAAAATAATAATAACGATAAAAAGCCATTTTAACATCATCTGTACACATCCGCGAACCCTTGTGAGAACACAGAGTCGTCTGTAACACCCCTCACATGGTTAGAAAAAAACAAAAGAAAATCTGCTCCACGTGAAGGAGAAATTATCCATGTTAAGGTAACTTCCGGTGACAAGACAAGAAGAGCCCCTTGTGTAAGAGCACACTTCTCTTTTTATTAGTGTGGAAACCACTGTCGATTATATTCCGGGGTTAAAACGTGGCTGCTGTCAGTTACCATCAGTATGCACACCTTCAACAATATAGGTGCAGTGTTAGTGAGTAGTAACAGCACTGTGTGCGGTGCTGCTTGACTGAATAAACTGGGTTAAAAACACAAGATTACGCATAAAACCCACGTAACAGGAGCTTAAGCCACGGCTCCACAACCGTTAACAGGCAGGAAGGAGACAGAAAGCAAAACTATCAGTCCACATTAATGTTTCATATTGGATTGAACAATGTTAGAGCAATAGACACTGTTACTTACATTTATACAGCGGGATACCTGTCCGTTTGAAGACTGGTAACACACCTAACTAGCCATTCACACTTTAACACCGGATCAGTTTTCACTTCCTGGTTGACGAGCGATGCGTCAGAGATAGATTATACCATTTTTTTAAAATTATATTTTAAATTATATTATTTTATTAGCGACAGAAATGAAAATGGAAAAAGACGGGGAATAAACAGCCTCGACTGGGGACTCGAACCTGCACCTTTACAGTCAGCCTTTTCAACAACTGAGCTAAACAAGCGCTCGGATTGTACCATTATCACTTTAATGGCAGGGGTGCGGATTGGATGTCAGTCTAACGATTCATTTCCATATTATTTGCATTTAACGCTGTGGCTCACTGTATTTTACTGAAAACTGTCGAGCAATGGACGTGAACCTTGAAATGCATATTTTTATACCCCAGTTAATGGTTGTCATGTCCAAATTGTCCAAATAGACTTTGAAACATTAAAAGAAGCTTTAGAGTATTTTTTTTTCAGAAATTAAAAGTACAGTAATTACAGTATGCAGTGTAGTACGGTGTGTGCGATATCGAAAATAAAAACAAACCCACAGCTTTGTGTCATTCAGTTACAATAACTCATACTGCGTACTAGCTAGCATGACGGAGTTTCTATACAGCTGGGTGGGTGCTATGATGTTACTGATAGTGAACTTTATTTTATTCACAAGGTTAGTTAGTAGAGAAAAACGGAATCGTCTCGTATTCAGAGATATTACTCAATATTTGGTATTGAGCTGAATATGAACACAGTTTGTCCCGGACTTCAGCTACAATGAAAAAGACACAAAGCTGGAGTTACTCTGTGTCTTTACGCTGCACAGCTGCCTCTTCTTCTCTCATTCTCTCCCCTCCCTCTCCTGTTTCTACTTCAATCATGAAACTGATCAATGATCAGCTGATCGGCTTTTCTCTCTCGTTTGTTTATCGCCCACTTTGCGCCAGAAAGAAGAAACCAGCGGATGTCGCGTTAAACAACAGCATCACGTTTAAGCTTGATCAGCTGTTGTTAGAATGTATTTAATATTACTTTCTAGTATCAGCTGATGTTTGAAACATGAAGATGAAACCAGGAGATGTCCTTACTGAATCATCAGAGCTGAACAGGTGATGGAGAAACAGGTTTACCTTTTAGGTGACATGAATGAGTTGAAGGGAAGTTATGAACTGTTTCTGAGAGACAAATAACACCAGGATCCTTTTCTACAGCTGACAGCTGGCAACTGTGCAGGGGCGGGTCTAACAAAGCTTTGTCAGGGGGGCCAGGTAGGGCATTAACAGGGAATCTTACAACAAAAGTTTTCATCTGATGTAAAATGTATAGAAATCATACATATACTAACAAGACAGTGTACATCACTGTTACAACAGCGTTTGTTTTCATTCAAATGCTTTATGGCTTTTCCTATAATACCTGGTGCCCTGGCTGATTTTATGTTTCTTTAAGCAAGTTCTTCATGATTGAGCCAAGTGTCCTCTTTTTTGGAAATCAAAATATGGTCACCCTACTTTAGATGCCACTAAAAGCGAAAACATTTAAAGCAGGGGTCCCCAATCCCAGTCCACAAGGGCCGGTGTCCCTGCAGGTTTTAGATCTCACCCTGGGTCAACACACCTGAATCACATTGATTAGTTCATTACCAGGCCTCTGGAGAACTTCAAGAGGTCATTTAGCCATTTACATCAGCTGTGATGGATCAAGCACACATCTAAAACCTGCAGGGACACCGGACAACCTTGCGGACTGGGATTGGGGACCCCGATTTAAAGTGTCGGCTTTTTAAAAATGAAACCTTAATAAAATATATGAGAGACATGGTGCCCGAACATATCGTTTGAACCTCGGTAAGCCAGTTTTCTTTATCACAATATCATTCTGTGACATTATTGTGGAGAAATTTTGATCCACTCTTCTACACTCCACAATATTGCTTCAGTTCACCAAGGACCTGTACAGTTTGAGATGTAGACATCAGGTGTTTTGCCGTTTTTTCTGAACATTGCACCATTTGGCGTTAGGATAGATTTGCTGGGAAATCCTCTCCTGAGAGGTGTAGCATTTTGTTAACACACACCTGAGTGTTCTATGCTGACGCTCAGTCATATATCAGGCCCGGGATAAAGACAATATATGTTCTGTTTTTAATTATTAGTCTCTTCTAAGTCTAAAAAGGGAAACCCTTCTTAAACGGGAAGAGTAGTGGAGGTACCAAGGAAATATAAAATAAAGGGTTCTAAAATATAATTTATTTCACATAAAAACCGTCGAGCTGCTCAGTCCCTCCCGACATAGTCCTTAAGTCTGTGACGTACCGCCGCTGCCACCTGACGTCTCTCCCCAAAGCGTTTCTCCCCATCCACAAATCAGTGGAAGTGTGGAAGGTGTTCTAACAAAAGTTTTCTGAGATGTGACCAGAGGGAAGAAAACTATTTAGAAATTGTGGAAAAGTTTGAAGTCAGTATGTATGTATGTATGACCCATGGCTATTGAGCGCTGAAAATCAGAAGCCTTTGTCACATAAGCAAGAATGAAAAAGAAACACTGAAAGTAGTAAGAAGGGTGAGGAACAAGTCCACTGTATGTGATCTGTTTCAGCGAGGGAGTTCATGTTAACATTTAACATGCTAACTGAGCAAGAGGAACTGACCTGAAAGATAGGATCATCGCCAACCTGGAAACTTGGACCCTCGGTAGCCGGTTACCAAGATTTATGTGAAGTAATCTTGTAGAAGTAACCACCACCCTCTGAGGGTCTACTAGAGGAGGTCAATACAGCACTACAGACAATCGAGGAATCCAGTATGGAGGCACTAATCATGGCAACACAGAAACAAGCTCTAAGGACAAGATCCACAGAGGCTGGGGTCTATCACACCAGGCAAGACCCCAGGTGCAGGCTGTGTTAAGATGCCTCTGAGACAATCCAGCACATAACAGGAGGGTGTAAGATGCTAGCAGGCAGGGCATACATGTAAAGCTATAACCAAGTGGTCAGCGTAGTACACAGGACCATCTGTGGACTGTATGGCCTGGAGGTCCTGAGGTCAAAATGGGTGGTCAAGAATGACTGAGCTAAGATTCTGTGGGACTCCTAGATACAGACGGACAAAATGTTGGTGGCTAACCAATCGGACATAGTGGTGGTAGACAAGCGAAGAAGAGCCCAGGAACAACACCTGAGATCTCTGTCCAGAAGACTGCAGTCCTAGGAACAGCTAAGATTCTGTGCAGGACCCGTAAGCTCCTGAGCTTGAAGGATAGATCGAATATATATTTAAAACTTGCTATATAAGGCTTTGATAGATGTCTTATTGAGACGTTGGATGTCTACAAGACTGAGTCAACTGCTTTTAAAATAAAGTTGTGTTTTTACTGTATTACCTGTACTGTGTTTCTGAAATCTGGCCCCTGACATATTCCCTTCATGAAATAATAATTAATAAAAACTAAAACTAATAGAAACTGAACTAAAACGAAACATTTTCAAAAAAAAAGAAAAAAGAAAAAAGAAGCTAAACTGAAATGAGAAAACTCACTCTAAAAACTAACTGAAACTAAACTCAATAAAAGCGAGTCTAGAGAAAATAAAAACAAATTTATTACAAATACAGACGTCCTGTATAAGAAGGGCCAGAGTCGACCCCACCTGCTGAGGAGACTGAGGTCCTTCGGAGTCTGCTGGACTCTGTTAAGAACATTCTATGATACTCTGGTAGCATCTGCCTTTTTCTTTGCATTGGCCTGCTGAGGGAGCGGATGCACGGACAGAGACAGGAGCAGGATTGACAAACTGGTGCAGAGGTCTAGCTCTGTGCTGGGATGTGCTCTGGAGTCTGTGGAGGTGGCGAGAGGAGGATGTTAGTAAAGCTGACATCCATCATGAACAACCCACATCACCCTCTGCATGAATCTGTGAGTGTGCTGAGCAGTTCCTTTAGTGAGAGACTGAAATACCCTTGCTGCAGGAAGGAGCGCTTTCACAGATCATTCATCCCAACAGCAACTCCTCAATCACAATGTCATGAGTCACTGGACATTGCTGACATCCACAGTCACACTTCATGCATGTGTATCATCCATATGTATATTTATTGTGTACATGTGTGTGTGCGTGTACATGTTTATACTTTTAGATAGCTATTACTTACATAGTAATAGTAACAACTCTCTATCCATAATCACATACTGTGTATGCTACTGTTGGATATAGTGTTTACTTATTTTGTATTTGTTTGTATTTGTTTGTACTTTTCTTCTGCCATCTGTACCTGAGCTGAGGTAACACAAATTTCCTCACCGTAGGATCATTAAAGTCTTTTTGTTAAGATTACAAAACTATAAGACCTGCTAAATATGAATGAGTGACGTAATAGTTGTCAGCTTAATCTGGCATCTAGCACACTCACAGCTACATACCTGAGCTCTATGTCTATAACGCTGTATAGTTTTAAAATATTTTAAAAACCTCAGTATAAATAAGCATGTCAGTTCAGGTGTCAAGTTTTGTGTCACACAGTTAAAGAGACTTCGTAAAATTAACTCAAACGAAAAGAAATCTAGTCAGTACATACTATTGAATCTCATACACCATCTTGATTGAAAAAATCCAGCAGCCACACTTTCTACTAAACCCCCAAAATGTATTCTTCCTGTTCAACCTAGAATTTATTTTAAGATTTTTTGTCACTGATTTTTCACACTTGCATAGAAGTATACCCCTGTTAGTAACCACAAGATCTTCAGCTGAGGCTCAGCTAACCAGTCTACAGGTCCACATGAGCAGATAATCCCTGAAAGTTGTTTCTTCTCTGGATGATACAAAAACACTAGATTGTTTCTGAAATGTGCTATATGAATACATTTTAATCACCATGATACAGCATATGTCAGCTGTATCCTGTAATATTACGTATTCTTCTATTTAATGTCCTTATTTGACTCTTTGTGTACAGCACTTTGCTACCATTTGAGTAAAGTTCTGAAACTTAAGTTTGCATTTTATTAAAACTGCATAGTCAGCTACTTTTTTTTGGATAAACCAAACATTTTATTGAGAATTGTCACAACAGGAAGTATCAAGAAACACTCCTGTACAACATCCTTCTTAATCCTCCTCCTCATCATCAGCTCCTCCAGCTCCACCCTGGCCCTTCTTGGCGTTCTTTCTCTTGACGCGACCTGGGCGTCCACCGCCGTACGGAGACCTCAGGGAAAAGTCGATGTGCTTCTGGCTGTCCAGGCGAACCACAAAAGAGGGGATGTTCACCACCTGCTTGCGCACACTGCCAAGACAGACAATAAAGGGAGGACTTTAGAAAATGTTGATGCATCTTCCAGCTGCACTTAAGAGTTGTCTTTGCAGTTTAAAAGCTGAAAAAGCTTTCAGGGTGGAAAAAGTGTGAATCTTTAATATTTTACATGTATAATTTACTGCAGGCTTCATTGACGAGGAATTCTTGACACCACAGGAAATCTGAACTTATGACTTAAATCATCAGCCTGAGTACTTCATATCCAATGCTGTAGTGAATACTACAATTGCCCGAGGTGCAATCCCCCATACCTTACCTGACGGCCACAACACCGTGGCACTGTCTGCGCCCTCGGCGGCAGGATTGGCTCTGGGCAATGTCTACTGACAAGGTATACGGTTTTGATACCGAATTGACCTTGATGAAAATCTTAACTGTTGTCAACAGGGTGTGTTACAGGTTGGTGGTCCTCTGATGGAAGAGGAAGCATCGACAGGTTCTCATGAGTCCATCAAAAAAAAACAAAACAAAAAAAACCCCACTGAGCCCGTTATGTGTTGCTTTGAGCTTACCGAATGTGCCTCTGGCGGATAAGGACACGAGCGTGGTGGATGCTCTTGGCAAGTCCAAGCTTGAAGACCTGTGTCTGAAGCCTCCTCTCCAAGAAATCCTCGACCTTCAGGCCCAGTATATAATCGAGCTTCATCTTACCCTCATCGAGCACACCGATTCTCACCAGACGCCTGAGCAAAGCGTTACCTGGAAAACCACACGTATACACAAAACGTCATTTAAACATACAACCACAGAGACGTGTTCAAAAATCTATGCAGAGCAGAAATATTGGCCTCATTGACGAGGAATTCGTGACACCATGGTGAAGTCTGACACTTTATATATTTAAATCATCGGCCAACACAAACCAGCTTTAACTCATCCTACCCACCTTCAAACAGACGCTTTGGGTCCTTCTCATCCAGAGTGAGCAGCTCTCTGGCAGCCTTGCGGATCTTGGCAAGGGTGAACTTGACCCTCCACACCTCACGCTTGTTCCTCAGCCCATACTCGCCTTAAAGGGAGATGAAACGCCGTAATCAGTTTAGTATAGCTCATTAAAGGGTATGCCTTGAAATATATATATGGACGGAAGTTATGAAAATGAAAACATACCAATGAGTTTCAACTCCTGGTCGAGACGGGACTTCTCGAAGGGGCGGCGGGGGGTGACATATGTCTTACGACAAACCCAGCTTCTGGCAACGGGCATGATGGCTTATAAGTGCCTGCAAAACCAAGAAATTACAGTGAGGGGGATGCTACATATAAGATTTATACCATTTTACACTTTTAATGGGTTATTCAAGGTTGACATGTTATTTGAATCTTGTGCACAGAAGACATTTTAAAGGCAAACATTATGCACTTTCAGCAATAACTCATGTTACAATTTACAACTAAGACAATCAAGTCAACCTCAAAAAGTAGAGTCAGTTTAATTAAGCCAAATAGGCTCTCCATCTGTCAGTCTAGTTCCGTTTTTCAAAGCGTTTACTGAATAATTTAAAAAAAGACATTAACTTTTTACCAGGCTAAAGGGACCTACAACCGTCACTATTACTTCCATGCTTCAACTGTATCGGTCAGATTTGCCACACGATCGTACGGTTTATGAAGACAAGGGTAATGTGTAAGGACCGAATTGACTAGAAACATTGATACATCGGATGCGCTTCATTAAATGTTTCTGAAACTACAATAAATCGCGTATAAACGTTTAACAGACCGGGCATCCATAAGACTAGGCCGCAGCTACACCGCACCACGTTGTTTAATGTTAGCAGCTAGCATTAGCTTAAGCGCTTTTCGTTTAAAAACGCTTTAAAAAACACATGCAGGTCTTCAATTGGCACAGGCATAAGTTTAGTTTCATGTCCTATGACTGTTTTTCAACGTGGAGGTCCAAATACACTCGGTTTGTATTGCTGGTAAGGATGAGGATGGTAACCGTACCTGTCTGGCTCAGGCTCGCGCAGTAAAGAGGAAGTTAAAGGAAGTCCATAATCATTTATAGGGCCTGCGAGCACACTACATGTCCCATGATGCCTCTCACCGCCCAAACGGAAGTCGGGCCCGCTGGGTTTGTCGCTCTCTGTTGGTCAAAGCGAAGAGCACAACCTGAACACATGGAAGAAGTTAAGATGAAGTTTGTTTATGCGCTTGAATCACGAACAGGCCTCATGTCATTACATAGATGGTATAACACACAGCTTCAATGTGCACAGAGAGGCGGGAAAGGCCTGCTTCTTTCACTCTGCACAGAGGTTTGACTGAGTGGTCACAGATCTCCTCTTACAAAGTGAGAGTGAGGGAGGTAAGGTGGTAAACTCAGAGAGAAGGACATGGGTGACTATTTATATAACTCTGAAATGGGACCCTGACCATGTGTTTCTGTCTGTCAGGCTGCATGATCAACTGATGGACACACAGAAGCTCACTGGCTTTCTCTTTCACTGCTCTAAATCCCATCTTTTCCGGGTGTTTTGGGGGTTTCCCTTGTGTTTTCTTGCTTGATTTCATTTTCGAGGTGAAGCAAAAGTCTTAAGCGTGGTCTTTTTTCCCACCTCCCTCACTTTCTTGGAGTTTCTGTTTCCTTCATTTGAGATTTTTCCTCCCTTTTAAAAAAAAATTTCCAGCCTGATCGCCTGCTCTTCTGTGTGTACATCAACCCTTCCTTTCCCCCTGCTCTCCTTTTCCTCCCATTTTCCTCCGTTCCTCATCTCCTCGTGTGTCGTTTTTGGGCTATGCTCTCCTCACCCACTGTGATCCTCCAGCCTTATGGACTCCCCGTCTACCCACAGGCAACCACATGCTACCCCAGCATAGTTCAGGTAAACTTCTTGATTTACTCTGTGGCCAGACATTATCACATAAATACTCAGATTTTCCCCCCTAGGGAACATCCCTGAAATCATCTACTGGGGAACTATAACTTTATGCAACAAAATAATATTATTTATTATTACAATTCTTAATCTCAATGTCAGTTATTTTGCATTTCAAAATAACTCTGTTGCTTGTGAAGCTCGCACACAAGAATTTCACTCACATGTGCTGTACCAATGTACCTGCACATGTGATGTGACAATAAAAGTGATTTAATTTGATTTGATTTGATTTCTAGAGCTCTGGTTGTTATATTTATTCTTTTATTTACCCAAATACTCACATTAAGAAATATAATCAAATAATTGGACATTTAAATCAGCACCTTTGTATGATTTTGCTTAATGATTAAACTGAAAAGATCTTATTCCTATTACCAGACAAAATCCCTGTATTTTGTAAAACTTAAAACATTTTCCAGTGAGCAGAAGAAGCCAAAAGGCCCTAAGTCACAGTTTAATCTAATTCAGTCTATCGATGCATTGCTTAATATGCAACAGGATCTGTGTGAAGTGTGCTAGTTGTGAAATGTCTTATTTATTCACTAGTAAGGACATATTAGTGGTTATCTTTAGTCCACCAGCAAGTGTCCCTGACATGCCACTAATGCCACAGCTCATTTAGTATCTCTCTACCTTGTCTCTGTGCTTCACACCAGCTGTATTTTTAGCCCTCCTCTCCTGAGCAGATAATCACAGGAAGAGGGTCTGTCACCTGTCTTGTGTCCTGTAGTGAGCTGTGCTTAAGATAAATGTGTGAAACCAGCCTGTTGTGCATTTAAATGTTGAATATTAGGCTCCTCCGGGGTAACCTTGACTTATTTCATAAGATTCAGAGAGCTGTTTATGGAAAACAGATGCAGAGAGAATTGTTATTTGAAGGTGACTGGCACTGAAGTAAATAGTCTGAAGCCCCAGCTAGATCTTCCAAGATTCAAGAACTTTATTGTCAGTGCAACAATATACACAGTATACAGCGTACCGAAATGCTCGAATCCTTCACTTCAATCCAGCAATTGTTCCCTTTTTAAAAGTCTCATATTTCCAAGTGCTGGGGAAATTCCTTTATGACTGATGTGGAGCATCTGTTTTAACACAACATTTGGCAGCTTGTAAAACTCCTCTCCTCATTATCAGCAATCTTTTCTTCTTCTTTTTTTTTTATCAGCAATATAAACAAAAAGCCTGTCGTGTCGCTCAATAGGAGGAACCGGGATGTGCAGAATGTGCAGATGGATGGATGAAAAAAAGGAATATTGTTGCTAACATTTGTAACTCGGCCAGCACCAAAAGGCCACATCTGCAGTCAGCTTCGTCTTGTGTAAATCCCGTGGCAACTGTCCCAGCAAGCACCTGGCTCCGAGCCGTCGACCTCTGACCGCAAGCCAGCAGCTGAGGAAGGAGACGAGCGAGAGAGGGGGAACAAATGGCAATGATAATAAAAAACAAGCCCGTGAGGAGTCTCGCGTTGAGACTGTGGTGCTGAATCAGACACAGTGGCTGGTTAGTTAGTTAGTCTGTAAGGTGGGGGGAGAGTTGACAGTGATATCTAACAGATGCATTTTCTTCGCTCAACATCGCTTTTATATCTCGGAGGAGGGTCGGAGCAGCTAGATCGTCGTTTCTTCTGATAAGTAGGACAGAGTGCAGGTGCAAGTTGTGTCAACATATTTGGAAACATGTTCCAGCTCCAGTGCGAGAGTTAAGAACGGCCTCAGAGTTGGACGGCGCCTCAATACCTATCTTTCAGCTCTGGTTCAAACTTAAATATTTCTCTTGAATAACAAGTAAGAGCTGCAGATGAATCATCTCCATCAACTTTTCCTCATTCAGTAATTATCAGGGTGAAGCCTGCTTGAATGTCAAGTCTGGTTTGTTGAGAGTGCACACTTTATTAAAAATCCTCCTCCAAACCAACAGAGAGTGGTCAAATGAAATCCTCCAAGCCAACAAGAGTCTGCCTGACAACCATTTCCTTGCTTATACAACCAGTTTAACAGCCAGCAGAGCTATGCCAGCCATTATGAGCTGGCGTGGGATAGAGTTTTTTTTAATCGTGACTCCTTTAAATCCTGAAGGCAGCTGACACACTTGTGCCATTTTGCTTGTAAGGTAACTCAGGGTATCCTCTGATCCGGTGATTAAGTGAAAGTATCAGTGCTCTAATAGAAATATTCCCAGTTACTGTGGGGGAATCCTCACAAATGTGAGGATTTTCCAGGATTGTCTTCCAGAATAAATGTTCTTAGATTTGTGAAGTCGTTTCCGGAAGCCAAGACAAAATAATTTCATCTGAACATTGTGCTGCAGCATTATTGTACATCTTTAAATGAGGACTGTCCACCATCAGAATGAACATACGGGCTCTATACATTATCTTCATGATCAGCACAAACCTTCATGTGGTTGAAACATATCATGTCACATGTGTCTGAAGTATTAAGATGGAAAAGTTTAGAGTACGAACAGCTCCAATAGTAAGAATCTGCCACTCAGTGTTACTGTTGCGATGAGGTCCTTGGAAAGTTTTCCCTCCTGTAAGAACTCCCTGTCTCCTGAAAGTCTGAGAAGGCCCGTCACAGATATCTCATCTGTTTATACAAGAACTGTTGTGTTAAATGCTTCAGCTGGAAGTCCTAACACAAGATATAAAGCAATAAATCAGAACGTTTAAATACATATATAACAGTACAGAAGGCGGCATATATACAACATATACGTAGACAGTCAGTGTGAAGAGGTGAGGCTGCACAGACTGTGTTTCTTAGTCTCCTGGTGTGTGACACGTGGACTCATATCTCCTGCCAGACGTTGTCAGGGAGTGCAGACTGTCATGTTGATGTGGTGGGATCTTTAACACTATTGAATCACTGATGCATCTCGGCCTTCCTGAAGCATGGCTGGGTCCAAAACGAGGCGGCGGTAGGTTTATAGTATAAAGCAAGCTCAACATCAGAAATTCAAGTGTAAGCAGTATAAGTATGCTGTAGTCTGACAGCTGGGTAAATGTGTTCACTTTGTTGTTTTTTCTGTTGTGTGGTCATGATGTAGTAAGATCAGCGAAGCACTTCACTCGCACCCAACCCAAACATTGATGTCATTATTGTGCTTGTGAAGTCCTCTGTTTCTTAAAAGGCAACTGAGCCACTCCACACAACACAAAGAGAAGTAGATGTTCATGAAAATGTCTCTGAGGTAATAAAACCGTGTCTGTCAGGGCCGATATTCTCGGAGGCGACATTTAGCACGATGCACCCTCAGCAGGAGCACGCACATTCATAAATACTTAATCCTGGGGGGGAAGCTCCGTACGCTTTCTGTGTTCATGAGTAGGTTAGAGGGGCCCTCTGGGCTCTTTGTGGGAGCAACAAGGTGACTGACAGTTACAGATGTCCACAGCTGGTGCGGAACACCTCCCCCACCCACAGCCACCCCCCACCTCCGGTCACTTTTCCTCTAGCAATCATTTGATGATTGGTGGATGGGTAGAACTTATGGTGCGGTGGGCGGGTGGTCAGCTGGCATTAAAAATGCGGCAGTTGTTAGACAATGCATCAGAGATCGAGGAATGCAGTAAGGGGGTAAGACTGCTTTTATTTCTCTGCTTTTTACCTCACTTGAATGGAAACTGCGCAGGAGTTTCCTCCAAACCACTGCTTACACTTGGTTTGGAGGAGGTCCTGTTTTCCTGTTTAATCTTGTTTTTCTCATTAAAGGTAGTTTTATGAAGCAGCGGGTTAGAAGGTCTGTTTCATACTATCAGTCCTTATATTTAGTAGAAATGTGCTCCTGACAAACATTTGTTACGCATTTTTAAAAAAAAAAAGTTTTTAAGTAAACAGTTGTTTAATTAAAATGGATATTAGAGATTCTAAAGTCTATGAGACTTAAAACATACCTGTGGCTGTTGAATCTGATGA